CCAAGGGTGGACGTCATGGTCATAGTTGGAACCAACAGCAACAGTTCGATATACAGGGTGGGCAAAAATTACGGTAACAAGAGCGCTAACCAAACATCTCGATTTCCTTCGAACCTAATAAATGCACCTGGTTGAAGAGACCCCGGAGAGAAATCACTAGACACAACAGCAAGGTAGACCGCTTGTGCACAAAGCAAATATTGTGCAACATTGGTTTTGCAGAATTTTCCGAATTCATGCCATTGAACGAGGGGCCACCTTATTTTCCCGTGTTAAAGCAAGTGGGTTATTTTCCGTGGAGTCTACTGAAGACGATGGGCTACTACGAGTATCACTAAAGCATCGACGAATTAAAGAAGATCCTAGGGTAAGCTCGATGTCACCTACCTACACAACAGGCCATATGCGTTCCCGAGATGACTTCATTCAGGTATAAACGCAAACAGCGGCCAGTCCAAGAAGTGATGTTGTATTCTGTCTGGTGACCTCCTATGAATACATTGTTGGGGTCCACGTGTGTCTTGCTGGCCGAATTGCTCTTCCATGAACACTTTATCCTGTTACCGTAATTTTTGCCCACCCTGTACTTTCTCAAATAATGATTTTATGAGAAAGAAATTGCTGTTACTCTTCGGTAGCGATGGACAGCCAAAATATTGACCAATTCAAATATTATATGCTAAGACCGTGGCTCTGATACAATGGTATTTTCGCCGCGAAAGTTTGTATAAGCTTGAAGATCAACAATTAAAAATGTTCAGCTAGAGGTCGAGATTACGTAGATTTGGTCGGAGATGAAGCTAGTTATCGAAAAGTTGTTGGAAAGGTGTGAACTCCTTTTTTGAAAAGTGCAATTTTACTAATGAATCACTCTTCCGGTTCTCATCATTAGCTGTCTTGAATTGTTTTGACGGCTCCAGCCTTTTTAATAGAGAATCACCGAACAATTTCCAGCCTTTTCCGTAAAAAGGCAGCGGACAATTTCCTCTCCATCCGTTTATTCTTTCACTGTTGAATTATAGGAGCTATTCACCTTTTGAGACAGTTTGTTTCGGTTGCTTTGATTTGCGAAAAGGTGAACCTTCTGACCTTCCTTTACTTACCTTAGTAGTCTTACCTTAGTAAGAATTGACTCGCTGTTGTAGTAACAGCGGAACCTCTCCAGTGCACCGGATCTCCCTGTCGCCGATTGGGAGCAGCGTTATATATTCTTCTGAAACTTTTCACTTAACGTGATCATCGATGGATTACTGGCTCAGAGTTGGCAGCTTATTTTCGTTTTGATCACCACAGCGATAAGGATTTTAACGGATGTCGCACCTCGTCATCACATACATAATTCGTAGCGTCATATTTACGTGCTTACCCTCCTTTTCAAAAAACGAGAAGAGCGTCGGGTGCAGACCATACACCACAAGTGACGACGGCCTCCAAGTAAATCTGGTTAGAGTGGTTCATAGTGATAGCTGATTTTTGGTAAATGATAGTTGTAATTAGTGACAACTGATAGAATACAACTGCAACAGGCTAATCATTTCATTGGCAGAAAACATTTCATTTTGTGGAGGCCGTCGTCACTTGTGGTGTATGGTCTGCACCCGACACTTTCTCGTTTTTTGAAGGGAGTATATGTGAAGAATGAGACTTTCCAAAATAAGACGTAATACTTCCATCTGCTGGTTGGAAAAGTACGTCTTCAACTCCTGTCCATGTTTTTATGTTCAGTTGGTTTTCTTAGTCGTGTTACATTGCTTCTAGCGTGTGCCTTTCGTAGACGTAATAAAACTAAACTTAAACTTAAACTCAAATGGGTAAAGCTGAGAACACAGACCCTGATGTTTCAAATAGCTGTAGACTTCCGAAG